TGGTGTTTTTATTAATTTTTAAAAAAAAAAAAAACTCCTTTTTTTTTTTTTTTTTTTTTACTTTATTAGAATGGTACAAATCTAGGTGACTTTTGTGGCACTTGAAGAAAATTGTGGACATGATTAGAAAAGGCTAAATGAACTTGGAGAAAAGTTAATTGTGATGAATTTCCACTATAGGAAATAAAAACAAAATAGAGCTTTTTTTTTCCTGGTACAAATCTTCCACAGTGAAGTAGTGTTTGATAATTCACTTTTGTTGTATGGAAATGAGCAGCTCAGAATTCTGCTTTAAACAACTCCTTTGGGATTAGAAAGAAAAAAAAGTCGTACATGTTTTAAAAAAGTAGAGTAAATAATGATAGAATTCTCATTTTTGGGTTAACTATTAATGTCATGTATGACCTGTTCCCTCAGGTGAAAAGAGATGCAAAAACCGGAAATTCCAAAGGATTTGGCTTTGTAAGATTTACAGACTACGAAACACAAATAAAAGCCATGTCCCAACGGCATATGATTGATGGAAGATGGTGCGACTGCAAACTTCCCAACTCAAAGGTATTTCCATGTAATACCACACATAGTTCACATTTTCATATACAAGTTATACTTGCTTGCGCTTATAGATTAGTAAAGGTTTTAAATTCGAACATATAAGTTGTTTCAAATGTTTTGTGATGCCCTTACCGTTGTGAACATTGCATGAGCAGACCCTGTTTTCTATTAAATGATCTAGTATTTCCTGGAACAGGCTGGTCCGGATGAGCCTATGAGAAGCAGGAAAGTATTTGTGGGCCGCTGCACTGAGGACATGACAACCGATGAGCTTAGACAGTTTTTTATGCAGTACGGCGAAGTCACGGATGTGTTCATTCCCAAACCTTTCCGAGCCTTTGCCTTCGTCACCTTTGCTGACGATCAGGTCGGTCTTCTGTATTTTTCGTTCTCGTTATTTGGCTTACTCTTTCTTTTCTCAAATTAATGCATGGTTGTTTTCCTCCAGGTTGCCCAGTCTCTGTGCGGTGAGGACCTGATCATTAAAGGAACCAGCGTCCACATCTCCAACGCTGAGCCTAAGCACAATAATAGTAGGCAAATGATGGATCGTGGGCGGTTCGGGGGGTTTGGGGGGCAGGGCTTTGGCAGTAGTCGCAGTCCCAACAGCAATGTGAATTTTGGGGCCCTTAGCTTGAATCCAGCCATGATGGCAGCTGCTCAGGCAGCCCTTCAGAGTAGCTGGGGCATGATGGGAATGCTGGCCAATCAGCAGAATCAGACCGCCGCTACCGGCACAACCCCTAGCGGGCAGAACAGCGGTAGTAGAGATCAGAACCAGAGTTACAACACAAGCAGCAATAACTACAACACCGGCAGCTCCGCTAGTCTTGGGTGGGGGGCGGGAACCAATTCAGGCTCAAGCAGTGGGTTCAACGCCGGTTTTGGATCTAGCATGGAGACAAAGTCCAGCTGGGGAATGTAGAGAGATTTCAATTGGGTCTCGAAGTATCCTAATATCTAGATTATATGGTAAGTATTTTGAGAGAAGAAAGTTTAGTCCAATATTATGTCCCTTCAATATTTGCCTTTGATTTTGTAAAACTGAATGTTCTTCGTATACATATAATGATTGCTCTTTAAGATTAATTTAGAGTGGTTGAAATTGTTAGGAATGAAATGAAGTTTTTTTTCCCTTATGGATATAGTTTATTTAGTGTCAGGCATTATTTCAGTATGCCCACATATCTGAGCATCTGTTACCATTTCAGTGCCCTCTCAACAATGCAGTACATTTAAAGATGCTCCATGTGGAAAGCCATTTGAGTTGTGTTTTCTGCCATTTTTTTCCCTCAACGTTTTTTATGGTCAAGCCTTCATAAATCTCTTCTACAGTTCATCACCTCTTTTCCAATTTCCCGGGAAGAAGCCCCTCGTTGGCCGCAATGTTCGAGCGATCTCAGTATCAGTTCCCTTCTTCCCATGTGTAAATGCTTTGCCATGAAAGAGCACAGCTTCACTCTGCATATACTGTGTTAGACGGTGGGTGGTCTTTTTTTTCCCCTTTTCATGGATGAAATCTGTCCGCTTTTTTGAGAGCTGAGAGTGATATGGTGATGGATTGTTGGTGCGCCAGGAGTGAGAGACTGAATGAGCGAACGCACTGAGAGAGAGAGAACTTAAACGCAAGTGTGCGATGCCGAAAAGCGACATGTTGACTGAGAAGAACCTGTGTGAGCGAGTGTGAACGAAGGCAGCGAGTGTTTTTTTTTTTTTCTGTAGGACCATCAGAAGGACATTCATTTACATTCTTCCGTCCCTCTTGTTCTGTCTACCTTCCTCCCTTTCCTATATTGCAATCATATATAAAGAGCTGCATTTAAAAAAAAAAAAAATGTAGTGGAATGTTTAAGTGATCTACTAACTATTTGTGTTCTTGCTTAATAATTTGATGTGAGTGCTGTGTATGGTGTGTGTTCTATCTCGCTGTTACTGAACTCGTGTGTGAACGTGATGTGATGCTGTCTGTGGGCGGGGCTCTGGGAGTGGGCGGTGAATGAGGGCGAGCGTGAGCTCTGAGTGGCTTAACTGGGGTGATGTATTGATGAAAGCGAAGAATGCTTCAAGAAGAGGGTGCTTTTGTTCTGTGTTTTGAGTGCTTTTTATATGTTTTGTGAATCTAAGGGAACTCAAATAAAAAAATAATTTGACTAGTTATTTTAATAGTGGCTTATTTGCTTCAAGACATTAATTGAATTGCAAACACTTATTTAATTCGCATGTATAGGGACGTTGGACTCGGCTGGCCCAGGTTTACCTCAGAACCCTGAGTGAAGTCACTAATGGGAGAGCTGAAGACTGAAGTTCCCACAGTCCATCTGTGGAGACTGCTGCTGTATGCCTTTAACCTGAAAAGGGACTACGTCACTTCACTGTAACTGGATTTACCTTTTTGAAATTTCAATGGACGATTCCCAAGTGGCCGGAGTGCATGACTAAAGACAGTCCATGGCAATCTAAAAGCAGAGTTAAACCAGTGTGTTTGTGGGTCAGTCCCATTGGGAATGACTTCATGTCCATGCTCGTGTATTTCCAGCTCTGTTTTACGCAAGACGTCAATGCAGTCATTGATCTTGCTTTTAAGTCTTTCCTCTGTTTGATTGCTTTTACATGATCTATCCCTCTGTAAATATAGTTTAGTGAAAGCTGAAAAGGCCTATTTTTCATACACTGTCCTGTTGTGGGTAAACAGATAGGATTTTGTGAATGGGGTTTGTGTTATCAATGACTTGAATCACTGGCAGGATTTCCATTTTTCTAAATACTTAATAAACATACACAGCGGA